CTCTTACTCCTCCAATTCTCTCCCCCATCCCACCAGGGCAGCGGGGGTGAGCGAGCAGCTGCATGGCGTTTAGTTGCTGGCTGGGGCTAAACCACAACAGCAGCGCATATAGTGAAATGTGTATTTGCTTTTTAAAGTATGTTCTCTTTCAATAATCTAAGGTGCTGTTAGAAGCATAGGTAAGGATGTTTTAAAAAAATATGATTGTTATTCCAACATTTCCTTTTAATCCTCTAATTTGACCTGCCTTAATATCGTTATGATTGCTGAAAATGCCATCTGGTTGCTAAATCCCTTTGAAGACTATGTAATCAACTGTCTATTAAGTAATACTGGTAAGATACAGCAACTATGGAACAGATCTTCTCATCCTTATTCTGTGATGTAGTCCTACTGAGATGTCAGAAATTGATCCCAAGAGATAAAGATTTAGGTTTGCTGCACTTGATGCTTATTTTGTGCACAAAACTGTTCCCATGCTCTTTTTCAGTACATTTTGCAGTGGCATAAGAGTTCTCAAACCTCTGCTTCATTCCACTGACATCCAGGAGTCCCAGTGCAGAAACAAGGAAATGGATCTTCACTGGTTCCTGGCACGTTAAAGACGCAGAGGAGACCACAAACACATTTATACCAGTTGCAAAACAGGGTAACAGTTGATAGGAACCCAGAATATGTTTCAGAAAATAGTTCAGTCAAGAAAGGAGTTGGAAGCTTTACTAGCCTATAAACTTACACCTGATAGTGCATCTTTACGCATAAGAATTACACCAAGTATTACTGGGGAATTACAATTTTAAAGACTTGGAATACTGATGTTATCTTCATGTACCTAAGAGTAGATCCATAGGTGTATCCACACCCTAACACATGGAATATGTCCATTTCCAATGGGGGATGGCATCTTCTCATGAAGTCATGAAAAGTATGTAGAAATCCTCCAAAGACTCTGGGCCAGACAATTAGGTAACATGGATTGCCATAGCCCTGCAGATTTCTTGATGAGGTCTGGACTTTTGTAAGGACTGCAGTCTTGAAGTGACTAAGCTGACCTTGTCAGACACTAGGAACACTCACTCTTACCCCTAAAGAAATTACCAAGGAGAGGGAGGCCTCTGTTATTGCACTTAGAAAATGTAATACCTTTGCAACAGATGCACTATCAAGCACGTTTTGTATCTGAGTATCAGTATTAGTTGAGTATCGGTATTTAGTTGACACTATACTGAATAAGGGCATGTGAACGTACTTTATTTTTAGGCGTTTGAGTGTTCTTTTCTCATCTTAATTAGTCAACTTCTTACTTTCCTTTTAAATTTGCTAGCCCTCAAATTTGTATAATTTATTTTCTCTGACTTTCTAATACAAGCTACTCCGAGGCCAACAGAATCACAATGGTTGTAACCGGCACGATTTGGTGCTCTACTGTGACCTGATTGAATGTAGCTGTGAAATGGTTCCTGATATTTGGTCTGAAACCACGCTGTATACAGACCTCAGCTGGATATGGCAGTGTTTAGTCACAGCAATGTTATTCTATGTGCTTATGAGACTGAAAAAGGGCAGGGGCACAGTGATATCCCTGCTAACAGTGCAGGGAACATGTATGAGAAATTGTCTGCTTGCATTTGTAAATAACATTTCCCTCACCACCCATGAAAATTTAGAAGCTGCCAAGGAAAAACAAAACATCCCAGCTAAGAGCCACAGCTCTGCAGCAACAGATGTCGAAAAGCATCAAGCATGTGTGAGTGAGTTGGACCAACAGATCTTGAAGCAGCACCACTTACCCTTGGACTGCTGAGAGGACTGGTGGAGAGCCCAGACGATGCTCCGCTGATTGACCGAGACCTGAATGGACACAACAAGGAAAACAGCCCTCAGAAAAACTGGACAAGTAATAACCCTGAACACCAGCCACCACAGCCACAGGCATGAAGTGAGGAGGAGGAGGAGGGAGGCTGTCACTGGAAAAGCACATGACTCTTTCCTTTCACTACTGTCACATTTTTCAGTTGTCCCACCCTCAAAACAAAGAAATGCTGTTGCTCAGGGAGGATACTATAATCCCTTTTCATTAAATGAGTTGCTACCTTCTTTTTGGTCATCAAGCACATGGAAGCTACTACATCTGACCTGTGCAAGCTGAACTTCTGAATTCAAAAAGGATTGTCATGACATTCATGTTGGTCCTGAGAATTCTCTTCTGTGCAGTGCTGGTGGACACAGAATGAGACATTCTCTGCCACGAGCAACATGGAAAAGCACTGTGTGTACAATGCACAAAGGTTCTTCCAGATATTATGAAAAAACTCAAGTCTCCATGACCCAGGCACACAACTGTTTCCTATGTGATGACTTCCCACTGAAATCAAAACTCCCTTTCCAGCTTCGCACTGATGGATTTCACGTCTCTGCTCTCCAGTAAGATTTCCTGCTGTTGCATTAAACAAGCCAGGTCGTCTCTACGAATAATCAGTTCTGCTGTTGTTGATGACTTTACTAATATCAAGATAACAGCCCAGGTGCCCTCAGAAAGAGGCCAGTCAAGGGAGAATAAACTGTCCTTCTATTTGCTGACAAGGTCACCTATACTGTAATGTTCTTATGCTCTCCAGCAAAGGCCACCTATGAAAAATGTCAGCTGTAGACAAGAAAATGTACAAATGTGCTATGCTAAACGTGCTGAAAGGGCAGACAGGCCAAATGCACAAATATTTCAGCAGCGGTAGTTTCCAGGAGGAGGGCTGCCCAGCAGGAAAAAAAACCCCTTTGTGTGACTGCAAATGAGTAAGCCCCAGAGGCAGCCGCTTTCTATCCTTTTTAAACAGAAAGAAAGTTGTCTTGAAGACTGAAACATCTGATAGGAGAGGACTTGGCTAAGAACCTAGTTGTTCAACAACCACCATGCAACATGTCAATATAGCAAACCTACCAATGTTTCACCTATAGTAAGAGCCATGAAAGCAATTACTTGCCTTCAGGTAACAAACATGAAAAGGTGAAATCCTGTAGATGCTCAGAAAACAGAGTGCATGTGTGTATGTGTATACATATGTGTCTCTGTGTGTGTGTACACAGATATTTAAAATTGATATAGGTCAGATAGTTAACGTCAGCTTATACATAAGAGAATATAAAACAAATTTAGACCATAAACTGTCTCAGTTTACTCTCTTCTAACATTATAGAAGAATAAAACAAAAAAAAACCCCAGTTTCTAAAATGGTCTTACAGACATATTACTAAACAAATTTGACTAGTAGAATTATTAAAAAATATGGGAACTGTGAAAGAGGAAATATTTCCAAGGAAAAAGTAAGCTACAACTGCACACAATGGCAAGTCCTGTTCTCTTTATTTGTATCCTCTGCAGAAACTACTCACTGATAGTTTTCTTTGTATCTCATTCCAGTTTGTCTGTCACAGTAAGCAGGTGAAACCCGGAAGCCCAGTCTCAGCATGCTTTTTTGCCAGATTAAATCTAAATTTGCACATGAAAATCTGGGGCACTCATTCAATGCAGAAACTCCCCACTTACGTTTTGACTTGTACCCTGCTGTAGTCTGCCCATCACAGTACAGCAGTCAAAAACTAGAAGCTTAGTCTTGGCATTCTTTTGCACTAGATTAAACCTAAATTTGTACCATCAAGATCTGGGACACTCATAATGGTTTATGCAAAGTAATCTTAAGGGGACAACTGTCTGCTTCACTTCTGAAAGGCTATTTTATGTGTGTCTCCTATAACTGAAGTAGCTGAGTGCAACACAGATGCGTCGTGCATATGGGAAGTCCATTTAATTAAAATCTTCCTTGTGTGAGTCATCAGAGAAAGCTTCTTCCAAGCCATAAATTACAAGATGAGCCTATAGATTATCTTGGACAAATGTAGAAGGCATTTAGGTGCCCAGAGATGCAATTAAACACCTACTTCGGAGTTAAACTTCCACTAGGAGCTGTTCCCACCAGCTCTTCATTGTGGAGGGAAAGTCCTCTCTGACACTCACCTGAGCTCCAGGATACTTGATTAAAAGTTCCAATCTGCTATTTCCTCTTTGCAATCAGGTGTTTCCAACAGTCCTGAATTCTCCCCTCCCAACCCCATTGCCTCCTATTGTTTACAAAAACGATCACACACATGGAGGGCAAAACATGGCAGGCCCCACCTCCCAACTCCCAGTTCCTTATTGGAAGCAATATTGGAAAAACAGTTGTTGTGTACTGTGTTTTCATCCAGCCTAGGAGCCTGAGGTAGGGGACAGAAGAGAGAGTTAGTGTGAAATCCTCCTGGAAATGCATTCAGTATCCACATGATTGCTATCGAACAAACTTTATTTCTGCTGCTGATTTACATGCAAAATATGTAAGTAGTAAAGTAGGCCCTATAGTAAGTTTTAGTTTGTCCACACTGGAAATCATATATAGGAGCAGTGGAAAGAGTTTAAAGAATCCTGGGTTAATTTTAAGTGTTGGGGTGAAAAGAGAGCTTTACATTTTCAAAACTTTTCCCCTTTACAAAAGAGTGCTGGTATGGGATATGACATCCAGACTGAGGAGGTCTTCCTTGCATCTTCTTCAGTGTAATAAATCTCCCATAATTTACCTTCACAAATGTGACATAGTTCCCAAGCTGGCTATAAAAACTCAGTACAGCGGCAGGTTCTATACTCCAGTACAAAAATACTAACAAGCAAAAATGACAGATTTGTCCCTCCCATCAAGATCATCTTATCTGGGAAATGCTAGAATTAATTTTTTTTTAAAAAAACCCACATGCACTGCTCCTGTATCTCAGAGTCAGGTGGACAGAACTGGGACAGGGCCAAAAGAAAGCAATGAAAACATTGCATTATGCTGAAATGCTGTAATGAAAGAACAGAGAGAATTTAAAATTTTTTCCCTCTCACCAGAAAATGAAAGCATGAGGCCCTACAGGCAGCACATTAGTATGGCAGACTCTGGATGATCTTATGTATGGGAAGAGGAGAAAAATATGACATCATCTTATCTCTATGGCTATGAACTAAGTTTAGTTAGTGGGAAATATCTATTAGTGAGTAACCTCCTAAAAGTCTCTACAGGCGTTAAATGTCATTGGAAGTATTAAATATGTAATTATTCCAATAACTTAATACTAAATGCAACAATCTAGGAAACTAAAAACATTGTGTGTGACTCAGTTTGCTCTGTGTTTTGCATTGCTGTATGCTTGGGCCCTAACTCAATGGAAGCCATTAAAACATTGTTGAAAATACAAGCAGAAAAGTTAATGCAGTTGCTCAGATAAAGAGCATTCCCTCAAACACAACTGCCAGATTTAGAGACACAAGAAGAGATTCTTTAGCCCCTTCCAAAGTGACATAGGTGTTTTGCCAAGCCTGGAGGGAGGAATTAAAAAAAAAAAACATAAGGGAGCTAGACCCAAGGTTTAGGAGGGGGAAGATGTAGAGGGCACTCTAAACATAAGGTGGGCACCAAGACCATTGCAGGCTATTCCTCCCATCTCATAGACTGACAATAATCTGGAGACATCTGAGCTATGAAAGAGAGAGGCCAAGGACTGAAACAAAATGTGCATGTGTGGGCTGTACTTTGTAGATGTGGTGATTTTATACCTTATTCAATCTATCTGATACTTCAAAGTATCAAAGTTAAAAGTTCCATTGTTTTAAAGTCATTTTTTACTCATTTTAGCCAGCTGCTGTCAAAGGGGAAGCCATGCGAGGCCCAATTCATGTTACACCAGTGGTCTCTTGCTGGTGAAATTGAGGAGCTGGAATCCAGTTTCCAGCTGGTTTCAGAGAACTGCAGAATTTCTTGAGAGCTCTAAGAGGTGAAGGGCTGAAGCCTCACACTGCCAAGGTGTAGGCAGAGAGAAATACAAGAAGGAAATGCACAGCTGACCTGGTAATCATATACACATATAGCACATGTACAGAGCACCTCTATATAGCCCTTCACTCAGATTAATTTTTAAGTGCTTTAAACAGTGCATCTGCTAGTACACACCAGTAGAGTATAAAGGCTTCACAGCCAGCGTTAAACATTTGGGTCAGATTTGGCATTTGTTTCTTCTTTGAATAACCATCCCACAGAAATTTTTCTTACTAAGGGGAGTTCCGTACCATGTTGCAGTCCCAGCAGAACTTGCTTTCATAGCACAGTTTTACCAGGATTCTGAATGCAGCCTCTTAGCTGGTCAAGCTGGAGCCATGCTTCCAAGAAGGGGAGCCTGCAGCATGCATGCAGCGTGCAGTAATGCATCAGACTTGTGTCCCTGGGTGAAATGCCTTAGAAATTTTGAATTGGTTTGATTCCATGTGTAGTTTTGAAGATCATCCCAAAACATCCAGCCAACCTCTTATTTGCTTTAAGCATAAATTGGGTGGAATTTGATACTGCTCTTTGCTTGCTCACTCAAATAAAACCAAAAAATTCTAAACTGTATTTCAGGGTATGAGACCCCTGAAAATGACTTGAATTAATATGCAATAGGTGAGCAGTCAGGCGTTGTGTGTTACAACATTTCATCACTATTACACTTGGGTGTCCAAAAGATACAAACTGTGCTTCCTTGCTCCTTGATCTAGGGAACGTGAATAGAATACCTTTGATACTCCACTGTCTTACAGTGCCAACAGTGCAAATAATACTAACTGTAACACCTCTTACTGGGAATACTTATGCTTATGTCAGAAGGTCTACTCATGGTAATAACCACTTGTAAGATGAAGCCTTACAAAGAGTATAGAGAAAGGACCACAGGTGTTGGTAACACACCTCTTCTTCCTTTCAGCACACACAGAGGGTGACATTAAACAGCACCACCTTCCTTAATTGGCCAATTAT